CCCAGAATTCCCCAGCCAGCAGGAATTCTGGGAGTTGAAGTCCACTCATCTTAAAGTGCCCAAGTTTGGACAACACTGGTCTGGGAGACTGGCCTGAGAAAATCAAGAAGCAACTGCAAGGAGCTGTCCTACCCAGGGAAGCAAGTAGTATCCTCCACCAAACCCTGGGATCTTTTTCAAGACTGAGAGAATTGCTGAGATGACTCTCACCCAAACTGTTCAGATTTTTGTTACCAAAGGAAAGAGAAACCCACAGGCTGCATATAGCTCTCTGGCAACCCAAGATGTGAAGTAAAGTTGTGCCTTCAAGTCAGTGTTGACTGCTGGCGACTGCCTGGACAAGTCCCTGCTATTTTCTTCACAAGATTTCAGAAGTGGTTTGCCCTTTCCTCCTTCCCAGGGCTGAGGGAGAGGGACTGGCCCAAGGTCACCCAGCTGGCTTTGTGACCAACACAGTACTAGAACTCACAGTCTTCTGGTTTCTAGCCTGGTGCCTTAACCACTACACCAAACTGGCAAATTTGGCAGTCTGAGGCTATTTCTCCTGTTCCTGCCCTTAAAAGACACCCCAAAGCAGTGTGAACTTTTTTGGCCATGCCCTTCTGGGGATGTCCTAGTGTCACCAGATAGCTCCTGCACCCCTCCAAAAAGTCACAAGGCTGAAGAGTAGCCTGTGACCCCTCAGAAACTGACCACTCCTGACAGGATCCCTAATATTTTGCAAGTTGCAACAGAATCTCGATTGCCTAAATCTCCGTTGCTTCAAATATATCTTCATTCTTCCACCTCCCACTACCATTGCATCACTTAAAATTAATGCAGCCACTTCAAAACACTTCAAAATATGAATACAACTGCTTGAGTCACTTGTATGTTTGGCCTGTTCCTGTTACAGCCTGCTGGTTAATACTGATGCTAAGAAGAAATTATTTATCTTCTGGGTTATGGCTCCTTGCTGTGAGGTACAAAAATCCAGATGACCACTAAATGGCAACAGAGCAATGTAACAGAAAACTCTAACTCCTTGGTGTCACCTTGCGGTTATCTGGGTTTTTGCAGCACAGCCAGGTCTCTTCTGAGTGCCCCTCTACAAGGTGTACATCATACAATAATCTTGCAAGGATTAATTTCATTTTAGAGAGGGAGAAGAGTGGCTTGCCGACCTACATTTCCAAAGACTGAGATGCAATCTGAGCCAGATCCAACATTTCCCGCAATTTAACAAATAGGTCTATGAACATGGACGTGAATTAGGAGTTGCCTATAATGTAGCACTTGCTTCAAGCAGTTCCCCAGAAATTCAGACAGTTCAAATGTTCATCTCCCCTTTTATCTCCTTCCTGCATTTGATTTAATTATCAGCAATCTTCTAGGCTTGCATCACAACTCTATTACAGGATATCTATGCAATTTCTGTGTATGCAAGATTTCCTGGGTGAAGCAAAAAGACTTACAACCACCCTGTAAGGCAGATCAGTGTTATTATCCCCAGATGGCACATGGAGAGATTTATGTGGTTGCCTGCTAAAGGCCACTGGACTCTAGGCAGATCATATTGGAATTCTGAACATTCTTTTCTGATTTTTTTTGTTTTTTTGTTTTGTTTTTTTTCCAAATGTTGTTTTGGCCATTACACTAACCTTGAAGCAGTTTTGAATCTGATGACTGTTGGGTGGTTAAAATGTAATGAACAGTGGCAAAGTATATAATTCATTCTCATTTTTTTCTCTTTATTTTTTAAAGTGCCCACAGTTTGGCAGCTATTAATCCATGAGAGTAGGCTGTGTTCATGGCCCACCCGTGCTGAGCAAAGATAGAGCTGGTGAAAGGGATGAAGAAGTGGAGAAGCTTTGGGAATGGTCAACCCAGGTTTGGAGGCTTAACCATCTGCCCTGTAGGAGTTAGGCACTGCCTCCACCTTGTCAATCTCTCAAGGCTTCAGCTGATCCCTGGATCACAGGCTGGGTTGCTCTGTTACTTTCCAGGCTGATCCCTTCAGGCAGACTTCACCACAGCTCAGCCATGGCCAAGGCAGCTCCACGCACTGTGCTTATCACCGGCTGCTCCTCAGGCATTGGACTGTGCATGGCTGTGCAACTAGCACGGGATCCAGAAAGGCGATTTCATGGTGAGATCAGGGGATCTGGAAGGGTGTGGGGTAACTGAGACATGATACACAACAGATTGGACATTCTGGTCTTTCTGGGTGATGTTAAAAGGAAGAAAATCATGGGATAAAAAGCATGAAAGATTTTTCAGGAAGGGATTCTAGAACTAGAGGTGGGGTGATAACTAACTGGAGAATTAAAAGAATCCAGGCTGGCCCCATCAGTTCCCTTGACTCAGCTTTTTTCTCAGGATTCTGTCTGACATCTGCTCTGTTCCCCAACACCCATCACGGCACCTTCCGTGTCCAGTGAATTTTTGGCTGTTCCTTGTCAACTCAGCCCAAGACCTCTTTGCCCAAAGTTACCCCAAAGTCAGGAGGCCACTTTGGAAATGGTCTGGCTTGGCTTCCAGTACTATATTCTGCCTGCTTTCTTGTTTTCACACCCTTCTCTTTTTTACTACTTTATCTGCTGTTGGGTCTCCAGCTTCATGTACTGCATCCTCTTCATTTCCCCATGTTTTTCCCTGTCTCCATACCATCGCACTAACTGCCCTTTGCTCTACAAATTGGCTGGGTGCAGATGCAGACCATTTCCAAAGGCTGGTGATGTAACCAGGCTCAGATGCCAGGAGACTCAGGAATGGTAAGAATGCCATCCAACACCAAGAGTTCTCTCTCCCCCAACCTCCCATTCCAATCCTGCCTCCCTTGCTCTGTCTGCCAGAGGAGGTGGCATTTCAGCAAAAAGACTTGTTCTGTTGACAAGGAACTGGGTGATCAGGGACACCCTGAATCTAATGGGCATCAGAGACAGAGGTCTATAAGCCTAACACACTAAGGATTCCTTGGAGAACTTACATTGGTACCTTACAAACTGACACCAAAGGTGTGCAGTGATAGAAATATTGAATGCATAACAGCAGAGAACATGCTGGAGAGAAATACATGCCACATGGACAAATATCTCAAGTATTTCATGGAAGTACATTTTATAATCAGGAAATAGGCACTGACAAATTAATCCTCTGTAATGTATATGTCTTTATTAAGGATGCTTAGCAAGTAATTTTCACAGCTTATACCCTATGGTATACACACAAGGGATGTTACAGAAGTGGCATTATGTGGAGTCAGCACATGATACATGCACATTGCACATATATAACTCATTTCTGGGCTTGCTTCCCAAAGCCGAGCAATCTTGTAAAGCCCTCACATAATCACAAATGCCATTGCCAGAGGAATTTAGAATTTCTCATTAAGCTTGTTCCTCACTTACATTCCCCTACCAGATAATCCATTTCTGTTCTATTAAATTATATGGGAGGAGATGTTAGCCTCTTTTGTAATGAGAAGAAGAGGGAGGGAGCTTAATGAGATATTGAAGAGGCAAGTTATTGGTTGGGTACATGAATAAATAAAGTAAAAGGTAATGGCAGAGCAAAGACAGTAGAACAAAGCCTGTTCTAACATTTAAAGCCATTTCTCTTCAACTATGAGAACTAGAAACTAAACTCTTCTTTAAAAAAAAAAAACTAAACAATCCATGACCCGCTGGGTCATAGTTTCAGAGATATTTCCTTACCTAAACAGAGAAACAGAATGACCAAGGGCAAAAAAGCAGTGGGAGTGTGAGCAACGTACAACTTTCTGCTGGCTTCCCTGTTGACTTTGCTTGTGGGAAGCTGACAGGGATTGTCAGAAATCTTCCTTCCTTCCTTCCTTCCTTCCTTCCTTCCTTCCTTCCTTCCTTCCTTCCTCCCTCCCCACACATAATATAGGTTTCCAGTTTGCCCTCTCCTCACGACCCTCAGGAGAACCCCGGTGAAGCCTCTTCCTCCTTGGCAGACCTGCAGAACTTCCTGCCACTTTGCTGGGGGGAGATAGAACAAAGGGGGCCATGGGCCATGAGGAAAACAGTTCCCCATTCCAGTGTGTCCCCAAGGGACCCTCCCTCAAGGGAGGAAGAGAGCTCACCCATTGACCACCAGTGCCCCCCCAGCCATACCTACCTCGCCAGCAGGCATCCAAATCGCTCCCTCGTCCTTCCCTCAACACACATGGCTGTTAAGAGATTTCAGATTTCTGCCTTGTTTCCAAAGCAGATACCCATCTGTGAGGCTGCAGATACCCATCCTTTCTGTTTCCCAAAAATGCTTCTTCAGCCTGTATGGATGGGCCTAATAATTTCCTATAAATAAGGAGAATGCTACTTTCCATTTATTCATTTATATTTCAACTAAATACTTTAAAAAATTCAAAGCAAAGGAGACATCAGCAGATACACTGATACTTAAATATAATGGATATCTCCCTCTTTCTCCCTCTGTCTTGCTCTCTCTCACTCTCTCTCTATATATTGTATAACTATATACATATACATATACTTATATATATATATATAGTTATATATATATATATATAGTTATATATATACACACATACACAACAATATATATCTTCCCATAACTTTCTATACATGATATACTTGAACATATATGTTTATAATTATTGTCTCAAAAGAGGGCATGCAAATAAATTTATATATAAAATCTACAGAAAGAGAAGGAAGGAAGGATGGATCCTGATATTGTTCATAGGCTTTACAGCAAATTATCTGTCCCTGCCCTCTCTTTGTCTCCTCTGCCCATAAACACGCGCACACACATACCACATGTAGAGAGTTCACCCTCAAAGAGGAGATTAGACCCAGAGGGATTTAGCATCATGACCCTTAAGTAGCTTACAAAACATGAATCCTCAATTACCCTCTTGAACCCTGGCCAAGAGCCAGCTTTCCCCCTCTTTGAGCAGCCCTTCTGGGCTGCTGACACGACCTGTTGCACAGCAGGAGAGGCTGTCTGGGAGGGAGAGCTCCCTGAGTACCAGCATCCCAGCCTTTCAGCTCCTTGTAGCTTCCAGTTCTTGGCTCCCATCACCCCAAGAAAATATTGAGGAGGTGTGACTGACTCAGATAGATCATCATTTGTAACAATTGCTTTGAAACTCCCTTTTACATTTCCAGATACCAGGGCAGTGTAATTTGTAACACATGCATCTAGGTAGGTAGGTGGGTAGGTAGGTAGGTAGGTAGGTAGGCAGAGACAGAGAGACAGATAACAGACACACAATCTCAATCAACTTTTTTAAAGTTAAGACTATAAGACTATGGAGTATAATAAAATTACTGAAGCTGTATTCCATGCATGTTTTTAAATCAAATATAAGCCTGTTCCAGGATTCCAGTGCAATGGCTAATATGTGCAAAGACACTGGAATAATTGTTTCATCGTCATTGTCATCGTCATCATCATCATCACTATTTTCTTTAAGTTATTTCAGATACCTTAAAAAATCAATTCTAGCACTCCTTGTCTACGTTTCTTGTCATCCACTTGTTATGGTTCAGCCTCAGCCTTCCCCATCCACAGAATGAGCAACTCTGCATCCTAGATCTTTCTCCCTTCTAGTCATTGCCACAATGCGTGACCTGCGCAAAAAGGACAAGCTGGAGGCAGCAGCGGGGGACACACTCAACCAGACCCTCAGCATTCAGCGCCTTGATGTCTGCAGTGATGAATCTGTAGCTGAATGCATTAACAGCCTTCCTGAGAAACAGCTGGATGTGTTGGGTAGGTATTCTGGAGAGGAGGTTTTCTAAATAGGCTGCTGGTTGCTCGCATCTATGATATAAAGCTAAGAGGAAATGTACTTGATAGTAAATGTTTTTGATATACACAAGTCCCATTTCAGAGGAGCTTGGCTACAGCTCCCATATTCCTGTGTGTGTGAAGGGATGACAATGTATCACAACTATCCTGATTGATGATCAAAATTACCAGGTTGAGAAAGGTTGCTCTAAACATTACCCTGCATTACCCCAGTTCTCATGAGGAAGGAAAGCAGTTCTGCCCATATTCCTTCAAACTAAACAGCATCACCAGATGTTTTCATTGACAGATTTTGCATTTCTGTCTTTTATAATCCCAACTCAAGCCCAAGGCCTGGCACTTTCCTGACTGGGCTTGGGTGAAGGGAGTACTTGAGTGGGAATAACATCTTCCCCCCTTCCTCCATGGCTACGCCTAATCCGTGCTTCTTGTCTCCCCCTTTTGTCCTTGAGCCTCTTCCCAGGGTTCCTCTTGGTCACTCGAGTCTCTTGGCTCCAAGATGAGATGGAGCTGGCCTGAGATAACATTGATCGTTCATATTTCTGACAATTTATTCCAAGTCTTTCACATATATTATTCTCCATATGATATACAGTAGAGGGTCTAGAATCCTGTAATAACTTTGAAACAGATGTTTCAAAACATCTTTTTTCCCCCTTCACCTGCTTTTGGAGACTGTGATGGTTTATGGCCAACACAACATTAACTTTCCAAACTTTCCAAATACACAAAGCACATTTTATTGCGTGCGTGCATCCGTACAAACAAATTGCCAAATTCCAACTGAGTTCCACACTGGGAGTGAACTTTGGAAATAAGATGCGTGCACTAAATTACTAGCACTGCATATTTCCATTTGGCTGTTAGGAATAATGCCTTTGGGTGTCAGAATTAAAGCCATATTTTATAACACCATATCAACATAGATTGCATGTAAATATGATCCAAAGTATGCTCGTCCTTCCAAGCAGATTAACGCACATAAAGCAGTTCACAAAACACCTTAAAAAACTAGGTAAGGAAGGCATACAGAGCATGGGTTCTGGAATTCTTTCCAAACCCTTCACCATGTGGGGCTATTGAAGGCACCTCTTTAATGTCGTTTCATGTGTCTGTGTGCATGTGTATATTTCTGCACCCCCCTTGAGTTGCTTCTGTGTAGTTGTGTGTGCACACACACAGGGGAACCCAGGGAGGGCTGCCTATGTCCCACTCTGGGGTGAAGAAGGGAGGGGGCTTAGAATGGAGCTGTCAGCAACATTCCAAATCAGTCTCTAACTACATCTTCTATAGGGTCAGTTTTTCTGGATTTCTTCCTCTGCAGCCTCCACCTTGATCCAGCTTATTTCTGAACATGATCTTTCTTTTGCCAACTTCTCCCCTACCCCCACCCCCGCTTTGGTCTGTTCTGTTCCGTTTTCAGAGAGCTATTGTTTGTTGATTTATTTATGCATTTAATCGGTTTCTACGGCCACCCATCTCGCGAACGTGACTCTGGGCGGCTAACCACACGTTGAGACAATGTAAAACAATCATGGGCAGATGATGGGCACAGATGGGCAGACCAGGCCGAGTCTCAAGCTCCTTTACATACTATAACATTTTGTTGAGGTGGAAAGAATAAAACCCCAGAATTGGTATCAAGGGTTAGGGTTAGAAAAACTTGAACAACTTTCTATAATTTGATGCCTTTCAGACATGTCGACTACAACTCCCAACATCCAATCTAACCAATGCAAATTGTACTCCAATGCATCTACAGGATGGATTGGACTGGGAAGGCCTAGAGCACTTGATTCTCTACAAAGAGCCTTCCCCCAGGTATTAGAGGCAGTATGGTGCACAGTTAGGTTGAAGGCTGGAGAGACACAGTCAGTCATGAACTGTGGGAGAGAAGAAGCGTTGGTATGCTCCTTCTTGAGCTCCCAGAGGAAAGGCAGGAAATACATCCCACATTTTTGTTAAAAAGTTCATTCAATTACCCACTAAATTAACTGAAATAGATCTCCCCTCTTCTTTGGGGGAATGTCTAGACAATTCTTGTTTTGCTTTTTAATTAGTCTTTTATTCCGTGTTGCATGGCTGACATTTTTCATTTCTTTAAAAGGAACATAATTTAAAAGCAGAGACGCTTCTTTCAAATGAGGTAAAAATATGGCTGGAGGAAAAAAGAAGAGCGGGCGGGGGGGGACGGTCCATACGA